TGTGGTAACATAACTGCAGACAATACACTGACCATACCCTTCTGAAAGAAAAAAAAGCACAGGTGTGCAGTGAATGAGGTAAGGGATTGCAGAAAGAGAAAAGGATGGTCTCAGGTTTCAAGTAGTTGAATGCTGCCCTTGAGAACTGGATTCTATCCCTGCCTTAGCCACAGAGTTCCTGTATCATGTTAATCAAGTAACTTAAATCAAACTTGTGACAGGTGGTCACTAATTGTATGTTCCTCCTTTTTTAGTGCCTGATTTAGGACCCTGAGATCTGATTTGTAGAAGTGCTGAGCACTCATAGCTGCCACTGTAAGTCAGTGTGTCAAGGGAGCTGTGCTTTGAACACTAAAGAGCACCTTATAGGTTCAATATTGTGAAAGATCAGGTTGTAGGCATCTCACACTAGACATCCAGAAAAAAAAATCACTGGATACTTTGAATTAAGTCTTCAGTTTCCTGCCATTGGTGGTTCTTATATTGTTCTCTGCTAGATAAAAGACTCCTTGACTATCTGGCATTTTCACTCCATGAAAGTTCTTATACTTTTCAAACAAGTCACCTCTTACTCTTTACCATCCTTTAAATGTGGACACCAAAATTTTACACAGTATTCTAGTATCAGTCTCACCTATAACCTATACAGAAGTAAAAATCACTTCCCTGCTCATATGTATTACTCCCTTGTTTACACATTTAAGGATTGCATTAGCCCTCTTTGCCACAAGATCGCACTGAGAGCTCATGGTCAGTTGCTAATCCACTCTGACCCCTAAATCTTTTCAGAGTCACTGTGTTCCAGGATTAGCCCCCCCATTTTGTAGGTAAGGCCTCTATTGTTTGTATCTGTAAAACGTTGCATCTGGTTGTATTAAAGTACATTTTGTTTGAATAGACCCAACTTCTCAAGCAACCCAGATCACTCTGTATGACTTCTCTGTCATCATTATTTAGCATTACATCAATATTTGTGTCACCTGCTACTTTTATCTGCAGTGATTTTCTATTTACTTCTGGATCATTGGTAAAAATAGGGAATAGCCCAGGGCTAGTCCCAATCCCTGTAGAATCCTGCTAGAAACACTCAAATTCAATGATGATTTCTCTTTGACAACTACTTGGAGATTTGTCAGTTAGCCAGTTCTTAGTCCATTTAATTTGTGCTTTATTTTATCGTGCTAATTTTTTTAATCAAAATGCAGTGCAGTACTAAGTCAAACACCCTACAAAAGTCAAAGTATATTACATTTATGCAGTTACCTTTGTCAACACAAGGAAAACCATAACAATAGAATACATAAGCTACAAGCTAAAAATGGAAGTGAAAGCTTTATGAGAGTGCTGGCATGTGTTATTAATATTGTAAGCAATATGAAGATGGAAAAGAATGCATAAGTCTCTCCCCATAACTTAGTTCCATACTTTTAAGGTTCTGAGTAGCTGGAGTGTGCCCTGCTACCAAATGTAGTTTTTGTTTGCTAATTTCCCAATTTTTTTAATATAGGTTTAGTGTATTTCAGAGGACAGCTCATGAAAGTCAGGAAAAAGAAGAGCTGCATATGCCTAGAGATCACAGGGAGCAACTGCTGCTGAAGTTACTCTTGACTTCATCCACACTATTCAAGAACATGAGAAGCTATGTTCTGCCTCAGTAAATTCTTTGTCTACAACATTTTCTCTCTGTTTAAAAAGTTACTCAAAGTCAGTACAGCAAGAGCAACCCTTCATGTTTAGCACCAACAACCTTTCAGCACAAGGGAACTTCGGTGAAGGAATCTGCACCATCCCTCACTTCCCAAAACAGCTTGTAGCCTCTCATGGACTCCTGGAAATTAGATGACACCAGCAGCAGCTACAGCAATAGGGTGAGAATGTCTGTATTGTACCAGCAGATCTGACTAATGCACTCCCCCTTCCCTACTAATATGAGGAATAACTCTCAACAATTAAATATGCTAATGTGGTACAGCTGCAAGTGTGACAATCGCCATCTTAGACAGTAAAAGGGACTGAACTGATGAGCTCTGGATATAAACACTTGAATCTTTACAGCTTGTGCTAAAGAACCAGGCTTTCAAGCTGAATGTTGTCACAGTCTCACATCCTCTGTGAGCTTAGACAAGGCCATGTTACACATACACTGAACAGTTGATCGCACAAGCAAAATGAGTGATAAATAACAAATATGAAAAATGTATTTTATTGATTCACATGACTATTTACAGATCATAGGGTTTTAAGTAAAAAACCTGTTTTGAAGTGGCCTTTTCGTCATGGGAATCACATAATCCTTACCATGTCTCCAAATAGATCAGCAGCAGGGTTTGAATCTCTTAACTTTCAGATCACTACCTTAAGTTCTTACTATTTGAGCTGCAGGAGTAAGCACAAACTCCTGTCTAGATGAGGCACTGGAGAAGGACTTCACATGCTCTTCCCAGTGTGTTTCACAACTAGTTACTAGTCCACAGTAGAATACTGGTGATCAGAAATCCTGGATTCCTCCTGGTTCTGGCAGAGCAATGTGGTTTATAGTGGCTAGAAATAGGATAACTCAGTGTGACTAAACCCGTATGGAAAGCAATGTGGTATAGTAGATCAGATGGGGGTTTGTCATGTTAAAGACCTGGTGTCCGGGCCTGCCCAACCTTGAATAAACATTCTGCTGATTTATTTTAAAATGGGGGAGGAGGGGAGGAGTGTTCAGAAGCACTTTTCTAATGGTCTTCTAGGGAGGGTTCCCAGCCTTAGTCAATCGTGAGCATAATCAACTGGACAGAAATTTAAACAGCATTTAGAAGAGGTAAGAACCTTGCGGCATCCTCTTTCCTAGATTAGGGAACTGCCCCCTAAGGTACAGGGGTAGAGGATGAAACAGTCTCTGCCTCCCTCCCTTGGAAATGAATATAAATGTATTTTCCATGACTAAAAAAAGTTGGAAAATTCTCTAAAGACAAATACTATCTAGCTGAGCAACAGTGTAGCCAATGGACAGATCCTATAGTGTTTTAGATTTCTGGAGTGGGGAGGAAGAGACAATCCAATGAAATAATTGCCAAAATGGGTGATTTTTGAACTCTCATTAGTCTCTCCCTATCAATTCATTTTTCATCAAACCACAATGAAAAATTCATATAGTGCTCAAAATTTATATTGTGTGTGTGGAGTTTTTTGCCATTTTATTGAGACCGCTACAAAACAAAAGTGTAAAGCTCATGTTAAAATGAAACTCTGTAAAGCAACCTTAACTCTGGTGCAGCTACCACTGCTCCATAATACTATGGTTAAAACCACTGAGTTTGCTCCGCACCTGGAGATCAGAAAGTACACTCAGAAGGAAAGAAAACACAGACTGTAAAAATCCTTTTCACTTATCTTTGCTGAACTTAATGAGTATGCTTTAAAAACCGTAGCTAAGATTTAACAATTAGCATACCAGCAGCACTGCACTCAAGGAGTTAGTTGGTGCGCCAGAAGAAATTCTCAGCTATAACAGTTTGTTTCTGCTCATCTAAACACTGAATATCAAGTTAATACAGGTCCAACCAACAGCACACTCACTGACCATGTGATAGATTTTTTTTAAACACATAAAAATAAAGGGCTTGTTATTGAGTAACTGTTTTTAAAAAAAAGTCTGAACCCTGTTGTTCACTTTTAAGGACATGAGTTTTTGAATTCAAGTTTGCAAAACTGAGTATGTACTTCTGGTTTTCTGGGGAAAATGAGCATGATTGTGGAAAATCAGTTTAGTCATGCACAACAACAACAGTATTAATCCAACACACAATTGTACACAGAGATAGTGAAGTCCTCAGTTTGCCACATAAGGCCACTGAACATCTGTTTTATGCTTTTCCTTTATTTGGTCTAACTTTTTATAAAGTGCATGGAAAAAGCACTGCAACTAGAACGGTAGCTTTTTGTAAAAAGAACACAAAAACGTCAAAACAAACCTCTCAGGATGGCTAACAAATCAATACAAGCAGATGAAAAATGTTCTTATGAACTGGATTGTTTCATTAGTTGCAACACCCCAAGACTCATCACATCAGACACCATCTTTAAATCTCCTGAATACAGTTATTAGCTTCTCCTCCCCACCTCAAAATGTAGAAAGCTTTGTTTTGCTTTTCAGAAACTATTCTGAACAGATAAAGTGCTGAAAAATTAAGCTGCTAGTGCATAATCATGCTTCTGAGTTTTGTAAAATGGATGGACATGGATCCATCATGGCCAGTATTTTGGATTACTTTTGACAGAGAGGTTCCAGATAGCTGAGTTAGAAGATAAAATGTAAGAGGAAAATTGTTTAATAGCAATAAGGGTAATAGAATATGAGGTTTTTCTCCAGTAATGGACTCTTTGCTTCGAAGAGTAAAACCCTCAGATTCACATCAGTGCTTATTTAGGTAAATCCTACATCTCATCTTAGTGTTAATCTGGCACTGAAAAATAAATATCATTGGTGCATATGTTTGCATTAATGTTATTGCCTAATTATCCTTGTTTCAAAAGTAGTATTTATTCACTTCACCTGTTAAAAAAGAGCCTCTCTTTGTACTCTGAGTTACAATAAACATGAAAATGTGACCCTTTACAGATTAAGTCATTTTCATTTACATTATCCAATGTCCTTTTTTTTCCAAATAATGTCTTCAAGTGCCTCATCAGTGTTTCATATCCCATATTACACTGGCAAACACAAAAACTGAACAAAAAGCAAATATTTCCATTTTTACTGTAATGGAATATTTGTCATTTAAGATAATTTCCTTCTGCCTGGAGCGTGTACTGTGCTTTACTCAGTTTAATTTGATTCATTTTGGTATCTAGCACAGCAAAGTGTGAGTGTTTCTTGTGTTAGCATCATTTCTAATACCATGTTCAATCTACTGTTACCCATACAAATGAACTAACAGACTAAACAGATCACTTGAGTCAAGCCTGTGCACTATCAGCTTTGAAAATGATTAAGAAAATAGAAACACACTCACCCTCAGGCTCACCACAGAGTGTACACTGTGACTCTGAAAAGAAAAAAGAAGAGAGATAAAAGTCATTTCTTCTGCTCATATTTGAGATCATTACTTCTGCTCAAGAGATACCAAATCACAATCATTTACAAATGTAACAAACTGGCAGTACTCAAACTGTGCATGAATGAGAAGTATCACAAGAATGATAGCTAGGACCAATGGTCCATTTATCTCAGTATCTTCTTTTTCGACAGTGACCAATGCCACATGCTTCAGAGGGAATGAACAGAACAGGGAAATTATCAAGTGATCCATCCTCTGTCATCCAGTCCCAGCATCTGGCAGTCAGAGTATGGGGTTGCATCCCTGACCATCTTGGCTAATAGCTATTGATGGACCTATCCTCCATGAACTTATCTAATTCTATTTTGAAACCCTATTATACTTTTGGCCTTCACAACATCAACTGATCACAAGTTCCACAGATTGACTGTGCATTGTGTGAAGAAGTACTTCCTTTAGTTTGCTTTAAATCTGCTGCCGATAAATTTCATTGGGTGACCCCTGATTCTTGTATTATGTGAAGGGGTAAACAAACACTTCTTTATTCACTTTCTCCATACCACTCATGATTTCATAGATCTCTATCATATCTCCCTTTACTTGTCTCTTTTCCAAACTGACCAGTCCTAGTTTTTTAATCTCTCCTCCTATGAAAGCTGTTCCGTACCCTTCATTATTTTTGTTGTTCTTCTCTGCACCTTTTCAATTTTTAATATATCTTTTTTTATATGGGGTAACCAGAACTGCATGCAGTATTCAAGATGTGGCCATACCATGAATTTATATAATGGCATTATGATATTTACTGTCTTAGTATCCAACCCTTTCTTAATGCTTCCTAACATTCAGTTAAGCTCTTTTGAACGATGCTGCACACTGTGTGGATATTTTTCCAAAAACTACCCACAACTCCAAGATTTTTTTCTTGTGTGGTAATAGCAAAATTGAAACCTCATAATTTTGTATGTATAGTTGGGGTGGTGTTTTCCAATGTGCATTACTTTGCATTTATCATAATTGAATTTCATCTGACATTTTGTTGTCTAGTCACCCAGTTTTGTGAGATCCCTTTGTTAAATCCAAAGGGAACGGCAAAGAGTTAACTATCTTGAGCAACTTTGTGTTGTCTGCAAACTGTGCCCCCTCACTGTTTACCCCTTTTTCCAGATCATTTATGAAAATACTGAACAGCAGCAGTACCTGTGGGACACTGCTATTTATCTTGGTTCATTCTGAAAACTGATCACATATTCCTACCCTTTATTTCCTGTCTTTTAATCAGTTATTGATCTTCACGAGAACTTTCCCTCTTATCCCATGACTGCTTGCTTTCTTAAGTCTTTGGTGAGGGATCTTGTCAAAGGCTTTCTGAAGTTCAAGTACACGATAGCCACTGGATCACCCTAGTCCACCAGCTAGGTGTTGAACCCTTCAAAGAATTCTATTAGATTGGTGAGGCATGATTTCCCTTTATAAAGCCATGTTGACTCTTCCCCATCAAATCGTGTTCCTCTATCTGTCTGATAATTCTGTTCCTTTACAATAGATTCAACCGCTTTGCCTGGGACTGATGTTAGGCTTACCAGCCTGTAATTGCCAGGATCTTCTCTGGAGCCTCTCTTAAAAATTGGGGTCACATTAGCTATCCTCCAGCCATCTGATAAAGAAGCTAAATTTAAGAAGTACCACAGTTCATACTTCCTCAATTTCATATTTGAGTTTCTTTAGAATTCTTGGGTGAATACCATCTGGTCCTGGTGATTTACTACTGTTTAGTTTGATTAATTTGTTCCAAAACATCCTCTATTGACACCTCAATCTGGGACCATTCTTCAGATTTGTCACTTAAAAAGAATGGCTCAAGTGTGGGAATCTCCTTCAGATCATCTACAGTGAAGACTGATGCAAAGAATTCATTTAGCTTCTCTGCATCATCCATGTCTTCCTTCAACAGCACCTCAATCATCCTGCAGCCCCACTGACTGTTTGGTAGGCTTTCTGCTTCTGATGTACTTAATTATTTTGTTGTTAGAATTTGAAGAGCAACTAGCAAAAGACTTTTACCTTATTATACACTTATTATACACTTTTACACTTGAGTTACCAGAGTTTATGCTCCTTTCTATTTTCCTCAGTACAGTATGTATGACTTTCAGTTTTTAAAGGATGTCTTTTTGCCTCTGCCACTTGTACTTTGTTTAGCCATGGTGTCATTTTTGGTCCTTTTACTGTTTTTTTTTATTTGGGGTATACATTTAATTTGAGCCTCTATCATGGTGTTAAAAAGTTTCCATGCAGTTTGCAGGCATTTCATTCGCATGACTGTTCATTTCAATTTCTGCTTAACTAGCTTCCTCATTTTTGTCTAGTTCCCCTTTCTGAAATGAAATGCTACTGTGGTCAGTTTCTGGTATTTCCCCTTCCCCTCGCCCCAGGATATTAAATTTGATTACACTTTGGTCACTATTACTGAGCAGTTCAGTTATATTCACCTCTTGGACCACATCCTGTACTCCATTTAGGATTAAATCCTAAACTCCCCTTGTGGATTCCAGGATTAGCTGCTCCAAGAAGCAGTCATTAATGGTGTCTAGAAATTTTAACTCTGCATCCCATCTTGAGGTGGCTTGTATCCACTCAAATATGGGGATTGTTGAAATCCCCCATTACTGAGTTTGCTATTTTTATAGCCTCTCTAATCACAATTACCGTCACCATCCCAGTCACGAGGTTGATAGTATGATTCTACGGTACAGTTTGATTCATTTAATATCTTGACTATGTTTTCTTTCACATATAGTGCCACTCACCTACTAGCACAACCTACTCTGTAATTCCTATATATTTTGTACCCTGGTATTACTGTGTCCCATTGATTATCATTGTTCCACCAAAGTTTCTGTGATGCCTATTATATCAATAGCCTCATTTAATACCAGGCATTCAAGCCCACCCATCTTAGTATTTAGACTTCTAGTATTTGTATACAAGCACTCATAAAATTTTTCACTTTTTAATTGTCTGCCTCCATGTGGTATAACTGAATGTGACTCCTTTGTTTGATTGTTTCTCTTCTCTTGTACTTAATCAATTTCTATTGTCTCCTCTTTATCAGGATATAGAGAATCCCTGTTAATAGATCTTCTCCAATGGAATGTCTGTCGGACTCATATGCTCCTCTGCACCAGTCAGCATTCCCCCAGACAGTTTAAAATTTCTTCTACCTTTTTCATTTTACATGCCAGCAATCTTGTTCCATTTTGGTTTAGGTGGAGCCCATCCTTCATGTATAGGCTCTTTCTCCCCCAAAAGGTTCCTGGGTTCCTAATAAACCTAAAACCCTCCTGCCTACATCATCATCTCATCTACTCACTGAGACCCCATAGTTCTGCCTAACTGTCCCTGAGCATGGAACTGGAAGCATTTCAGTGAATACCAACATGGAGGTCCTGGACTTTAATCTCTTACCTAAATTTGGCCTCCAGGTCCTCCTACCTTTCCCCTATGTCACTGGTACCTACATGTACCATGGTCACTGGCTACTTCCCAGCACTGCACGTAAGTCTGTCTCGATGTCTTGAGAAATTCATGACCTTCGCACCCTACAGGCAAGTCGCCATGAGAGTCTCCCGGTCAACATAAACTCAGCTATCTGTATGTCTCATGATCAAATTCCCCATTACTATTACCTGACTTCCTAGTAACTGTGATTCCCTCCTGTGGAGAGATATCCTCTTGCTCAGAGGATATCATGATATCTGGAAGGTGAGTTCCAACTATGGGATCATTTCCCTCCTCTTCAGTTTGATGTTCTCCTTTCCCAAGACTTTCATCCTCCTTAACAGCAGAGAGGCTGTCAGACTGCGGGTTGGATTGCTCTATTGTGTCCCTGAAAGTCTCACTCCATTTTTATTACACCAAAATTGCAAAAATTACTTTTAATGAAAATAAAGTTCTGTACAAGGAATTTTTTAAAAATAGGTTTTACTCAAATGTTTAAACAATGACAGATTTGACTCTCAGTTACAGCCATGAAATCCCACAGATTCTAGTGTAGTGCAAGGGTGTAACTAAAAACATTTGGTACCTTAATATTTTGGATAGGGAAAACTGCATGTAGTCATTGGCATCTGAATATATAATGTGCTCTTAACTTTATTACTAAGAATAATAAATAATAATGGGGGCAGAGTTTACACTCTTTTCTTCCAGAAGGTTTCTAAATTCTCTGGGTCAAGTCCTGCAAATTAGTGAATAATATGAGTTATGCCCCTCATTAAAATATTCAGCAATAACACTAAGGAATAAAGACCCCTGATGCTTCTGTCCCTCATGTACATATCCCCAATGCAGTGTTTGGCAAAGCATGCGAGCCCCCCTAGTCACACCTACAACATGCTCCTTTCCTCCTCTCTGAATTTCTCTGTGGGGAAATGCCAATGAGTTCTGCTCCTCAGCAAGGAGGGGAATGCAGAGACTTCTTACAAAAGATTCCTTCTTCCTGATATCTCAGCGCGTGCTCTCTCTCTCTCTCACACACACACACACACACACAGAGTCAAGGTTCCTCCCCCACTCTGAACTCTAGGGTACAGATGTGGGGACCTGCATGAAAAACCTCCTAAGCTTATCTTTACCAGCTTAGGTCAAAACTTCCCCAAGGTACAAAATATTCCACCCGTTGTCCTTGGACTGGCCGCTACCACCACCAAACTAATACTGGTTACTGGGGAAGAGCTGTTTGGACGCGTCTTTCCCCCCAAAATACTTCCCAAAACCTTGCACCCCACTTCCTGGACAAGGTTTAGTAAAAAGCCTCACCAATTTGCCTAGGTGACTACAGACCCAGACCCTTGGATCTTAAGAACAATGAACAATCCTCCCAACACTTGCACCCCCCCTTTCCTGGGAAATGTTGGATAAAAAGCCTCACCAATTTGCATAGGTGACCACAGACCCAAACCCTTGGATCTAAGAACAATGAAAAA